CGGCAACAGCGGCAGCACGCCGGAGGTCGAAATCTGTTTCTCTATCCAAAAATCTGTTGATGTCAGTAAGGTCAAAAGGTCAACAGGTCAAACACCATCATCATCATCATCTTTCCTTCTGGGCCTTTCTGTCCTCGCTTCCTGTTCCTCTCTCTTCTGTTTTCCTTTCGTCTCACTTGTTCTCTTGAGCTTTTTTTTTTCATTCTAATTAGCAGCTTTCTTCTTTTTCTCTCGCACATTTTATCCTCATCTTCACCCTTCCGATCTTCATCATCACATCTTCTGTATCAGCCAGAACAACATTTTTTTCCAAGAGGTACGGAGAGTGAGGTTGATACTGTCAAGGTCCGCTTTGTTTTGCACTTTCTCTCACTTCCTTTTGTCTCTTTTCACATCTTATTCATTTGTTTTTAATCTCCTCTCGTCTATAGCTTCTTATCATGCACCCGCTTGCCGGCGACCCATCGAGGGTCAGGGAGGTGAAAATATCTCGATGACTCTTCTTGTTAAAACCGATTGGAGAGGAGAGTCAGTGGCAACGCATGGCCCGCCAGGTCACTCAGAGTAACACGTGGTCTCAAACTCAACCAACTTAGAGTTAGTTTCCAGCACTTTTAATACAGTTTTGTCTGTGTGGAGCTCTGTAGCATGAGACCTAAACAAAAGCTAACCTCAGATGGGTCGACAGTAAGAGGCTTGTTCTCTCACAGAATTTTTTCTCCTCCCTTTCTGTTTTTCAGCCACTCTTCCCTTCATCTCCTCTCTGTTCAGTTTCTTCTTCTTATTGGTTTCATGTTCTCCTTCTTTGATTTTCCTCTTTCCCTTTTTCATCAGTATTTAACACAGACACACAGGTGACAGGACTGCAGCATAAAGAAGGACTTTCGTTCGTGTTCATCTCTCTGCTGTCGCTGCTCCAGCGGCTGATCCGAGTCCAGCCGGTGACAAACGTCTGCCTGCTGTGAAGGACTCTGCTGAATCAGGAAGAAGCGGGTGGCGTGTTGGGACATTCGCGATGGACGCATCAATCTTCTAAATGAATCAAAGCTAATACAACATCTGCTGTTTGGCAGCCGCTTTCATACAAAGCACCGCTCGCTGGGAACGGGCCCCGCTTTGGTTTAACACTGGAAAGTGATGGAGAGTGAGCCTCTGCAAAATATGATCCAGTACCGAGCGATACCAGGGTCAGAATTACCAATATCAAGAGCCTTTCTTCTATTGTGTCACAGTGAATTATGTTTATTATGTATGGAAGGCTTTCATGTCCATGTGCTATATGGTTAGTGCTCAATTGTGTGGCAGTACAGTCTCATGTCCAGTGCTTCTGGCATGCAGGGTGTCTTTACTGGGTAGTATTTAAACTGTAAAACCTATTTCCTTCCTGTGGGGAATCATAATATGTGGGCCATTCGTGCATTGCACTGTTTCATTCGGTAACCAACAGTGTAAAAGTCAAACTGTTTCTGTTGATCTTAAAGGCTAACCATTGTGCTTTTTGAACTCTACTAGAGTGGCTTTGCATAAGTCATAGTTCATAATAATCCTTGTTTACCGTACACTAGACCTTGGTACAGCCTCTCAGTTCACTCTGAAGGGGAGGGGGAGGTAAAAATGGTGCCTGAAACACACTCCTTTAAGCCCGCTTCACTCTTATTGGCTCTCCTTTAAATAGAAAGTTTGAAGAGCTGGTGAGTGTGGCTTCTGTATTGCTTTCACAGCCTGAAATGACCATATTAGACATATTAAAGGTTATCAAATGGCAGTCGATGTGGGTGAAGAATAAAGCCAGTGTGGAAGTAACTGTAGTCTCACAGACTTCCATGTCAAAATGTCCAAGAGTACAGCAGACATAAACATGTTTACAGCCTGCTATGAAGAACGGTTTGGCCTCTGTGGCTAATTTCAGCCAGTTTTTCATAACAGATTCAATTCAGGCTCAAGGTTAAGGGCTTGTCTGTGCAGTAATTGTACTAGCAGATGGTACAAAAAGCCTGTGCTTCAGTTTCAGTGAGTTAAATTCAAGGATTTTAGCAGTCTGTTACGTAGCACTAATGCAGGTATTGGCAACTTCACACTTTGGACACAGAGCTTTGGTAGTAGCAAGTCAAAATTGTGGCAGCCAAAATGCTGACCCCTTGGCTATGTCCATCCTGGCCATGTTTAACAAGAGCATCCAACACTGTAACGGCACACATGACAGAAAACATAGTCTTGGAAAGAGTCTCTTGGCAAAATCCAGTCCAATTTATGAAGTAGCATTTATTTGTATTCTTAATTATCTATTAACAAACTGATAAATAGACACAAAAGTAGATACTTTTTTTGTAAGCATGGGGCTTGCATTGTTATAATCTACAGTTTGTCTAATTGCTCTGAATCATTCAAGATGTTTGTCACTTGTAAACACTGCATGTTACACGATGGAGTCTCACTAATGAATTCTCTGCAGGTGTTCCACAGAGAGGGTTTTCCAGCTGGCTGGCCTGATTCTTTCTGAGCCTCTTCCCACTGTAACCTCACATTACCTCCCAAAGCCAAATACAGACATAAAGGTTTAACTGAAAAGCTTGACGAAATTAAATTAGTTATCGATGCATTTTGAGTCATTTTACCAACATGTGCAAACCATCCCCCCGACAGCTCATGTGTCTCTTTTGTGGCATGCTGGCTTTGCTGAACTGTGTCTAAGACAAATCTGTGCGTTCCAGGAGGAAACCGGCTGAGTCAGGAGGGAAACAAGGTGTTTGCTTTTCACCTGGGTTAGTCCGTACAGGATCATAAATCTCGTTGTGAAAGTATTGGGGCAAGTGGGTGGCGGGATGGGCTTGTGGTTAGTGGAACCATTATGTGACTGCAGGGACGCATCTCCACTCCCAGCAAGTCAGAGGCTTTGTACTTTAAACCAAGCTCGTGACCAAAAGGGCAGCAATAAATGAACATGTCCAGATTCTACCATCATTTTGGGAAATACGTGAACTAAACCAGATGGGAGTGCACTTAATTGAATGTATAAGTACTACCACAACAAAGAGAAATAGCTAAACACGTCTCTAATCAAATTAAGTTGCATTCATATCTGCATAATACAAAAGATGCTTTCACTGGAACTTGAAACCACAAAAAAGATCCATGCAGATTCAATTTGAAGTGAACTGTGCATCGTGGTTTTCATGTGGATGCAGCCACCCAAACTTTACAACAACAGCTAAACGACTCATGGAACATGACATTAATCATAGCCAACGAGCTGCCCCCCATACTTTCAAAACCCCAATCTAATCAAGAATCCACGAGACTTTCTGGAACTGGTTGTGCCGTGGAGGCCGTTCGGTTACGTAAGCCCTGAAGCACGTGGTTGCCACTGTTGCTTCTCAGCGGTTGGATCCTGGGACTTATTGTGAAAAGTTCGCACCTTCTATGTGTGCTTGCATGGGTTTCCTTGGGGAGCTCTGGTCTCTCCTCCCATCAAAAACTTGCCTCATTCACCTGTGACGGTGGTCTTGACTACAGTACTGGCTTACAGCTGCAGATGGTCCCCAGGCTTTGCAGTTCTGAAATCTCAGGATGGATTAAATGCAGGGAATGAGTTTCCCTATTGGGATCAATAAAACAGATCTTATCTCAGAGGATCCAATTCTAATGCTGAAGTGCCCCACAGGACACCCCCACAGATCCTATGTGTACAGGCCGATGGCAGTACAATCTGTGGAATGCATTTTAAATGCTGCATCAATAGTGTCACTCTCATAATCTGACTCATTAAACTTTTAGTGTACAGCAAAACAAAAGAACTGGACTATGTAGCTGTATCACAAAAAGCAAAAAGCTTGGAGGCTTTTCCCCATCAAAGCTTAAATTATCTCAGCTTTTACTTTGAAAATATGTATTCAATTCCTATAACTACCCCAGGACATTTATTTTGAAAGTCAGGCACTGCACGTCTTTGTGCGTTGGTTTGCAGCGTTGTTTCAGAGAGCAGCAAAGGCAAGGATGATGTTTGACCTCAGGTTATTTGACTGATGACCATCTGTCCCGCTGTAGCTCCTATAAATCACAGCTACTCTCTTCTTTTGCTCTGATAATGACCTGCTCCGCCTTATCTTTCTTATCTCGGTACAACGTTGTGTAAAGTGCATGTGAAGAAAATGAAATCTGGCAATATGCAAATGAACAGCTGTGTGTCATCTGCATACAGACAGAAATAAATGTGCCTGAAGTTCTGCAGCTACCGTTAGAACATAATACATCATATTTCACCTCCGCTCTCCATGAGCTTGCCCTTCATTGGCTGATGTTAGCCCAATAAAACTCCAGTGTTCCCCCAGTCTCTCTTGCTCCCCTGTGCCTCTGCATCATTGCCACACTAGCCTGCGCCGAACGGGGTCTAAGACAAATCTCTGCGCTCCAGGAGGAAACCGGCTGAGTCAGGAAGGAAACAAGGTGTTTGCTTTTCACCTGGGTTAGTCAGAACAGGATCATAAATCTCTTGCTGAAAGTTTTGGGGCAAGTGGGAGGTGTGGACGGGCTCTCATGGCGAGTGAAACCACGAGAGTCTGAAAGGATACAGCTCCACAGCTTCAACAGATCCTGAGATACAGAAATGTAATGATTGTACTGGTGAAGACCAGTATGGTGGTAGAATTACAACTTGATATGAAAGCTGGATTAAAACATGGAAAAAGAAGGAACTGAAGAAATCCGCTTAATGAAGTGAAACGGTAAAGTACACTGTTTTAGTCGTTTTTGACATCGGAGTTGTTGAAGTTTAAAGATAATGAATAAAGGCTGACAAGGACAAAAAAAATCTGTGGATGGGGAGATTAAGGAAGTTATTCTTTGCAGTATTACTTTTCCAACAGGGAGGCATCCATGGACATGCTGCCAGTCCATCTCAGGGACACAACACATGCTCAAATGCACAGCAGCAGCCAATCAAAATCATCCTTTAAATTAGGGCGCTTGTCTTTAATTGTGTGTGTGTCTGTGTGTGTGCTTACTATCTGGGAAACAGTTGTCAGGGTCCATCGCCTCTTCAGCCATCTCTGAGTACTCATCCTCTTCCTCTCCAGGCTTCCTCAGGTCCACCGTGCTGCCCTCTGATAGGCTGATGTCGTCTTTCGGCTGAATAAAACAAAAACAAACAACCAGTCATGGACTCGTCACCTTCACCACATCGACCTGCGACTGGTTAATATCACCTACTCACGATTAAAATGAATAAATAAATAAAGAAGAATAGAAAACGACTGCACAGATTAGGTGAGGGTGGGTTGGAAAGCAGCTTGCAGATGCAACAACTACTGTAGGAAGGTTAAAGACAATTATGTAACCTGCCCTATACTGGAGCTACCACTTGAATGCATGCAGAAGGGTACCAGCTAACAGGATTGAGCTTAACTCTGCGTCTTGCCTGAACTAATGTTATCTAATGCTAACAGTCAGTTTAACTCTGAGTGAAAGTATTCATTGGTGCCAATCATAGCACTTATGTGAGCAATCAATACACGTCAGCTGTTTTTAAATTATTCTTCTATTTTGTATTTATGAAAACAAAAATCATTCTGACTCAGAGTGTTTAAGCCAAACCACTAAAGGCTAATCAGTCTGAACATGCTGCCAACTGATAGGTCAAAAAGTGAGGTTTTTCAGTTGCTATTTAATATTTTCTCATTAACAGTATAAAAATGGCTGTAGTGGTTAGAACAGACCTGTTATGAAGAGTCAAGCTGAGTGTTTTCACTTTGACAACTGAGGTTAGGAACAGATTTTGAAACCACACACAATCCTGGTTACTCTTCCTTCTGACTCTTAGATTGACTTTAATTAACAAAACAGAGTTAATGTTGTATTAATTATGACTCAAAACTAGTGACTGAACCCATCAATCCAGTAGGAGTTCCCCTACTGAAGGAACGGGAAAAGAAAGATGAGTCTTCTACAGGTCGCCCCCTGTTGGCCATTAAAGAAGGTTAACGGTACTTCCACGCTGACTCAGTGTTGTCATGCTTGTGAACTGAGGCATGCGCCAAAATCAATCGCTTTTCTAATCATATTCCAGCCCTGAAGCTGGATCAGATCTATCATTAACTATAAATACTTACAGGGGTGTGCTGATGTCACAGTTAATGCTAACAGTGACCAACGCAACAACCATAACCACAACATAACACAACAAATACACTGTAACAGATTTAACCTCATAAAAAAGAAAAATTCTAGTGTGTAAATGATTTACGCAAGTCACCAAACTTTTAATCAAAGTCCTTGAAACCAGTGCTGACTATCAGCAGCCTCTTATTCTCATTCTCTGTTGTTATGTCCACCTATCCATCCACCCAAACCTCCTCCCTGCCTTTAAGGCTTTTAAATAACTCCACTTTAGCTCCAACCGGTGTTGTCATTTCTCTGTAATAAAGGAACACATTTCAGAGTGTGTTTTTAATAGTCCCTGGGCAACAATGGAGCTCTAACACACACACACACACACACACACACACACACACACACACACACACACACACTTGACATTTTCATCTGTTGACAATAAGAAATCACATCTCCAG